AACATTTAGCTGACACTGCACACAACGTGATACCCAGCCAAAGTTTCCGCGTTGTTTACAAGGCGCCGGCTAACCAACCCAGATCAGCACAGCAGCGCACAATTGCAGTGGCTGAAGCTATCGCCATACGACATCGCGACCCGATCCTTTGTCGGCAAAAACGCTTTGTTCGTGTGTTGTACTTACCATGGTCCAACTCACCTCCCCTCACACATGCATCGTGTGCTGAATACACAACTACAACACCCCCCGAGCTGACTAGCTCAAGTCATCCTATTGGCGACCTGAACTAATGGTTCTTTGATAGGTAGCCAGTGTCATCTCACTCGATTCCCTGTCCATTGACACCATACTCATTCAAATATGTTAAATACCGCTCTCTTAACCTTTGCAATTGTATGACTTAAAAATACCTTGCCGAAAACATGTTCGTCGACCCATCTGTGTTCTTATTATAAATGGGAATTTTCGGAATATTTATTCAATTTATCAGCTATGAACCATGTACCATAAATATGTTGTTTCCAGCTGCTGCAGTTTCGGTTACGGTGAAACGAGAATGGGGGACGTATAACCAAGCGAAAGCATGTTCACTTTGTTCGGAAATTGGGTAGCTACATAATGAAGACGATCGCCTTGATGCACGACCGCCACCGATTGTGTGATAGACTCTTAAAAAAATGACTCACGAGATTGCCTAATTTTTTTCGACAGCCTACGAACGATTCTGCCTTTCTTAGGGCCCCAGAGATAGATGCTGTATCCGACCTCATTTGCTACATAAACGAAAATTGTATTGAATTCCCCAAATACACTCACTTGTGCACCACTTTGGTTTTCACGGAAGGCTCTACTGAGAGATTCAGTTGGCATTCCCCTGAGTCTTTCGTCAAATCCAAGTTTGTGTGCAAATGGGTTTAGTCGATGAGAATAGTTCACGCCGTCAGAACTTTCTACCAAGAACAGAGTAAAACTTTCAGCCTCTGACATTCAATCCACGTTCAAGAAAATGCTCTCTCCTAGGTACATCGTGAAATTTGACAACTCTAAGATCATAAGTAGATGTACAACGGTTTATGGAGGTATTTTTGAAAACGTTTCATTGTACTTCTATTTCTGCCTTTCCAAATGGTCAATGTATCGATATAAATCCACCAGTTTAGACGAGATATCGCTGTTGTAGGCGAAGAATACAATGAGTCACATTTTTTACCCGCCTGGAAGCGAACAGAGTTTGAAAGCTTTGTGAAGACTGACAATGTCTGTCTTATTCATTCACTTACATTAGACTACTATCTTTGCGTGGTATCATTGAACCCACGATCACAGTTGTTTCAGATCTGATCACGTTCTTACATTTGTAGGAAAAAGATCGCTCCAAAAAATTCCCGTTCACCAGCTAAACACAATTATTTAATTTTGTTTTGTGTTCTTCTGAAGATGGGTTGCAGTTCGAGGCAGTGTTACAAGAATCGGTTTCTTAGGTGTTTTTCTTCCAGTAACAAGTTTGCTGAAATTACCAAAGTCAATAAATTTAACGTGATATGTTTTAAAACACAACTTTGATGACCTTGACAGCGTGATGTGTGCAAGGTTGGTGAAAACCCTTTGACCGCGCATTACTGGTTTCGATCTTGCGAACCATCGTAGAAATTCCATCAATCCTTGAACGACAGGTGAACCTAAACATGTGATTATGCAAACTATTTAAATGTTAGCGTGAGATTCGAAGAAAGTGATTATTTACTATTGTTAAATAGTACCAAAATTCAACAATATTCTTTAATATTCGGTAAATTGTACCGTTATTGTCAAGTGGAAAAAGCTCGTGGTTTGTACCCACATGACTCATTCTACAGACAACATTTAGTTCTAAACTCCCTAGATAAGGGGCTAATTCGTCTATACTTTTAACATTTCTGTTCAAATAGCCGCAGAGCATTGATGAGTATAAGATTTGATTGAGTATAATCGTCCCTACTCTAAATAAAACCGTATCTATTAGGAAAACATCGGTTAGCCGAGAAGTGATACAGAAAAGCAAAGAAAATTACAGTAAAATACCTGAGCACGTTTGGCAAGCAGCTTGAACAACATCGATGTCCACAGTCTTCAAACAAAATCGGAACTCGTAGTGCGTTCCCACAACTGATGCACTTATGAACATCATCCAGAGGATCGACGAATAAAATCTCACTCCCGGAAGGTCCTGTGCTTCCCGCGGTTGTCTCAGTGGTCGTCTTAGCTATTTGTGTTGTGGGCGCCGCAGGTTTTTCTGGCTTCGCCTCCGGAGCCTCAGAAGTAGATTGTTGTGCCTTCAATCCCGGTTGTTCTTCCGTAGCCTCGCCATGATTTTCTTTGTGTGACCTTTTACTCTTCTTTTTTGAAGCTCCTGATGTCTTGTCTTTGTCCGGTTGCTCCCCCTCTGCCTGTGGTTGCTGCTCCAAACTGGCATTTTCAGGTTCTTTCTGAGACTTCTTCTTGCTCTTCTTCTTTGCCTTGTCTTTGTTGTCTACACGAGAAATGACAATAAAAATGTAGTAAGGATTAAAAGTAAGGCTTTTTTATAAAATTCATGCAATAAAACTCAAAATCAATAGAATTGTTGAACCAACTGTCTCGTGTACTTCAGCATTGCTTTCAGGAGTGTATTTATTTCAGCATCTTGCAACAAGAATGTCAAGTCATGTGGCTCACCAGACCAAGCTACGTGTATCGCTCTTCTACTAATGGGGAACACTTTAGTGTAGTTACCAAAGAAGGCTTGTATCGTTAGTCAAAGTAAAAAGAGTTCACAGTCATTTAGTTGTATGGCTAAGAGTTCTGAGACTTGGCTCCTCAAAATTTGTTTTTCAATATTAGTCATAATTCAGAGGAAATTATTTGGAAGCTCAAAAATTTGTTTTTCAATATTAGTCACAATTCAGAGGAAATTATTTGGAAGCTCAAAAATAGTGCTTTTGGGTTTTGGTGTACCCACATTTGCACCCCCCTTCAAGTGCCTCTTATGGTTCGACTGACCTTCTGACGAACTGCACCTTTCAAGGAATATGCACGCAGTGATAACGGAGTTTAGTTCACGAAGTAACTCATCCCAAGAAATCCTAGGTACTCAACCCCGGATTTCCACATATCCATCAACTACTAAAGTCACAAATACCGGAGGTTCCTGCAAAAAACAGCGCGCGACAAATTGTTTGTAATTGGTGAACTCTGAATAAGAATGAAGGTAGTGAACAAAGCTTGTTTTCGGCGATTGTTTTTCTTGGCTAATACATCACAAATTTATATGGTAGCAGAAATCACGTGGATAAGGTTAAGATCGGGCTACATACACTTTAGAGAAATAGGAATTAAAGGAAGCGGGGTTTGGATGAGGGATAGGTCAATGGATCATGGGATCAGACAAGTGACGTCAATGTCAGACAGACTTGTGGGACCGGATGTTTCGTAGGTCAGTTCAAGTTCAGAAGTCGCATAAGTTTCTTTCGAATGCAAAGTTGCGGATCCAGCATTCGGATTCCAACCGCCTCTGCGATCGATAGTATTCTGAATCGTACCAGTCGTGATCGCTTTAGAGGTACCCGGTATGTGATAGTGAATGCATGCTCTTTGTCGATGAGATGACTGGTTTCGGCCAAATGTGATGCAATCGCGCTTGAGCCTGGTTTCTTCCCACTACCACTCAGAGATTCGGAATTGTGTTCTCGCATTCTGTCCGACAAATTCCTTGTCGTACGACCAACATATGATGCTCGGCACGAGCATACAAATGAAAACACAGAAAAGCTGGTCGTAGAACGTGGCAATATGTCCTTCAAGCGGATTTTGATAGTGAGGTTGGAGTTGAAGCTCAAACATAGATTACCGGCCAAGTATGTCGCATCAACAGAGTGTCTAAGCCTTCTGATGATTAGTTCAGCAATCAAGTCACCTTGAATAGAAGCCTCATGTATACGGGCTTCTTCCTAACAGAACATTGTGTAGATTTGGGCTTAACGGCTTCCATAGTTTTGGGTACGAACCTTTCAGGACATCCGTTCTGCAGGAATGTGCATCCCAAGAACTTTAGTTCCTCTTCTAAGCAGCCGGGTGAGCATATTTTCATTGCTCTCCCAGTCAGGCATCTAATTAGGTTACGTTTTTCTTGCAACGGAACGAAGCTATCAAAGTGAATTCACTGGCATTTCCACGTTTGCTTTCTGTGGACCTTGAGTTCTATGGTCCTGTCAGTCTTCTTTTTAACATTGACATCAAAGAAACTTAACTGTCCGTTCTGCTCTGATTCAACAGTGACCTTGATATTAGTATGGACTGAATTGAAATTACTTAGTACGTCTGTTGTGCTGATGGTTTTGTCGGCAAGTACGAAAATGTCGTCCACGTAGCGACGATATAATTTTAAACCGTCCAATGAGTGAGTCTAATTTTTGGATCTCTAGCTTGGTCATGAAAAAATCTGCCAATATGGGACCTAGAGGAGACCCAACCGGGACCCTGTACTTCTTTCGATAAATTTGATTGTTGAAAGTAAATTTAACATTGTAGGTACAAAGGATCAGGAGTTCCTTAAGATCCGAGATGAGAATTCCAATATCTTTGCCGTTACATTCAATCAAGTCACAAACATAGTTTATTGTCTCAGTGAGTGTTCTGTTGGTGAACAAGGACTCGTACGACCAATTGTTACTGTCCAAGCCAGGTAAAGGCTCGGGAATGGTCTTAATGAATAGGTCCAACTACATTGATAAGATGACTACCATCCTCTCAGACAGATCCAAATTTAAGAAAATGGAATCCGAGAAAGACAAGTCGCATGTGATTGAAAGAGCGGTGTCCAAAATATAAAGACGTCTTAAACAATCCAGAAGCATTGACACCAAGACTTTCGAGCTTATCCGCCCCACTGGCACAACGATCCCTCGGCTCTATGGTCCCTCGAAAGTGCCCAAACCCGGCCTACCTCTCAGGCCCATCCTCGATATGTCTAACTCTCCTTACCATGTTTTGGCTGAATGGCTTGTCAGTCTGTTAGAACCAATCGGGAGAGAAGTATCGATAAAGAGCTCAAGAGACAGTTCTGATTTCGTCGATCAGATTGGAGGTTTGAAAGCTGATAAACACTGCATGTTCTCCCTGAATATTTTCACTTTCAAATCTACACCACGTGAGACAGCAACCACCGCTGATCTCACACAGCAAAACTGTTCGCACCAAATTCTTGATTCTTCGTTCACTTTTATAGGGCCTACACAATTCCTGCTGTGGGTAATGTCGTGAATGTGGGGTTTAAACCCTGTGTCCTACAGAATAGAATGCTATTAAGATGAAAATTCTTCGTTTGGTTTCTATCTTATTTCATTAAAGTCGAAAGGACTTCAGCCGATCCAGAAGAATGAAAATTTGCCCCCAGTTTTTGGCTACTTAATTATTCCAAGTAGCGTGTGAAATGACCGGCGCTGTGTGCTGAAGAAGAGCATCTCGACGGTAATTTGAAAAAAAACGAGCACAAGTTGGGAAATGTACTAACGCGCACGGTACGTTGGAATCAACAGCCTACCCATTTAAAGCCCTGCAGCGTCTCCAGCTTACGATGCCTTCTAGCTTGAAGCATGACAGCTTTTGCACCCTAGGAAAGTAAGAACATCCTTTGACGCAGAAAACAATAGCTATGCATTCTGTGTTTCATCGTTCACGAATTCGTTCTTCCTGTCACACTCTGAGCAAAAGCATACTCTGAGGAACAAACACGATCAAACCATATGAGCCTGCTTCTTGAAACGATACTAGTTATAGAAGCCTCATTAGGTAAGAATATTCTTATTCTTCTTTTTACTCGAACATCAAACCGGATTTATATACGAATAAACACTCATTTTTGAAACGGGCCCCAAATTTATCCCTCAGCTACAATTTTTTTCCTTTGAAAGTGTTTCCAAACAGCCACATAGCATTTTAGCAGAGATGATGATCAAGATATCAACGTGTTTTTTTAAACTTGGAGATACGTACAGGGTTAATTCCCTGTCATCTAAAATTCCATACAGCTTCGATGTAAGAATAATCTGAAGAATATTGTGAACTCAAAATCCAGGCAATAATTCTCTTAAACTCAACTTAGTCTGCAGATGTGTGTTTACCTTTACAAATGTAGTTTCTTGTTTTGATTATATGCGAACTGTTCCCTATTGTTTCGTCTTTAAACAAAGCAGTTCTGTAAACATTTCTTCAAAATGAAAGGGTTTAAAGGATAACATTCCGTGTTAGCCGCTCAAAGACTGCCAGTTAGGAGATCAAACAAGTTTTATCCGACTATTCTGCAATATTCTACTAACAGAAAAATATGTACAAATCAAATTGAGTTTGTCAAAGGCATGCACCTAATTTCTATATTGGATTAGACTCCCGTTCTAATTTCTATAATCGAATAAGACTCCCGTTCTTAGAAGACCACCACTGATTACCATACTTACCTGAATATAGGAGGACCACATAGTGACAAATCATCCGTAGAAGTCCCGGTTTGCAATCGGACGAATTTATTTGTTTTCGTTCAACAACAAATCTGTATCTCTATGGTGAACAAGCCCCATAACTTGTTTTGTTTGTGGAAAACTTTGAGATTGTTATGGCGACCGGTACTGCACTCCCAGAGTTATTTTACAAGGCAGACGTGAATTCAGCTGGCAGTGTCAACAAGGTTGGACAGACATACAATCCCTCACTTAGAAAGACTCAATTGTAGAGGCTGCTGGAAGACGTTTAATTTGTGTTTGTTTATAGCGTACACATTAATGCGACTTCCACCTCAAAAGAATTGAAAATTTCGAAAGTTCGAAATTCAAGCCAACCACACTGAGCAGTGGTCGTTTTAAACAATGTGCTGTCTGCAGTGAGGACTGGATTTAGTCTGATGGGTTTAAACAAACTGGGCGGACGTTCGTTTTTTGCGTTATTTATTGTGTTGTTGCTTTTAACACAAAAACTATATGATATATGTCATCGCCGGTGTGTCAAATGTATATTACAACATACAATATTTTACTGCTAGTGTGTTGTTTGATATTATATTGATGTATGATGCACAATTTTACGGGTATATCGTCTCCGATCTAGCGTTACTATTGTTTACTGTATTTTGATTGACCGGTTTCTGACGCGAGTCTCCAGGCTGGGTGAAAAGAATTAGACTGAATACTTATCATGTTGAAGGAAATTCGAAGTTACACTGGAGAGCGGGGTGATGCTGGTTATCCGATCAGGGTTTCTTCAACACTAGTCGTCAGCTGTTAGAAGCACTTAGCACTCAGTTGATCCCGTTTATAGCAATCACTCACACCTGACGTTTTGCTTCTGTGTTCCGGCAGCATTCCACAAAAGGATAACCCTCAAACTTTTTAAAATGGACTAAACTTCATCAGGAGTTTTGCGCAAAATCAGGACGCAGTCAAACAATCTTTCGAGTAAACTTTTGAAATCCTCTACTTTGAAGCAAAATTTCGATAGGGTCAA